TAGTAGCCCAGAGACACAGGGTCTCAGGGTCAGATGAGCACTGTGATAGCTCTCAAGGTCCTAAGGTGACAATACAAGAGCCACTGTAGCAGCAGTTACTTGAGACCCTCATGTTGGAGACCTGAGATAGGTTGTAGAAGGAAGGTCCAGTGCCACTCAAGGAGAGACCAGAGATGGCCTCCGGGCCTCAGAGAGATCATCACACTCCCACCCACCCCTTCTGTGTTTGGAGTGCCCACCTTGTAGAAGGTCCCTTTGGGATTTGATTTCTAAATCAGGTTGGGTGGGGAGGGCCTAGATTTAAAAGCTGCTCTCTGTTCTCAGGCTCCACCTCTGACCTAGGTGACCCCGAGGAAGGGTCTGTTCTTAACAGACCCTTAATTTATGAATTAAAGGGGTCCACCTCACTAGAATTCCTTACCCACCCTGCCTAAAGAGTGTAGGGGCTTGGCACTTCTGATATGTACTTTGAGGATTCAGTATCAGCTCTGGCTAAGAAGTAAAACTGGGGCTCAAAGAAGGGAAAACCATCCAGAAGCTGAGGAAGTTCCCCTCAGAGTCCAGAGATAGTTCGGCACTCACCCTTTGGGTCCAGCTCATCCTCAGGGCCACTGACCAGGCCCAGTCCCTCCAGGCTGTCCACCGTGGATCCACGAATTGATTAGGGAATCAAAGTGTCTTCCAACCTGAAGTTGTTAACCAGTGTTCACCTTCAGCTTCCATTTTGGTTGCGTTCTTGTGGCCAGCATTGCTGAGATATGTACATACATCATTCCTAGCTCAATTTCTGGAAAGAAAAAAGTGTGAAAAGTGCCCAGCCCCAGAAAAGAATGCTCTAACCCACTCCCATCTTCAGAGTGCACAGAATCAGAACTGTCTTTGCAGCTACCACTACTTTTAATAAATGTTTTATTTTAAAGCCTAAATTTGTGTCTCCCAATATAGTGATGTACATTATAAGAAACACTCATTTCTCAGCAACCTATTCAAGGTCACACTTTAGGTTATGATTTTAAAACCTGGATGGACCATTTTATCCAGAATATTTAGTGAAACTATATAAAATCCTTGCTTATATTCAGCACATTCATTTTTTGAGTTGGTATATCTTTTTTTTTTTTCCTTGAAGTAACTACCGAAGCTAATCTCTAGATGTTTTCAGGGTCAATTCAGGCAGATGCCTAAGAAATGTTACCTCATAAAAGCTTTTATTTTTGCATAGAAATACTCCACTAAACACCCTGATCAGAGAAGTAATATTTACTATAATTTTTAAAATGTGACATTAGTTTTGAGGCTCCTCCTATCTTTTGTTTCCTGTTCAATGGGGTCCAAGTTGAAGGACATCTTGTTTCTGCTTTAACATTACAATGATTTCACAGAAATGTCAATGCCTAAATGCAGTAATAAGATAGGCCTAGGATATGTTAATATGGAAAAATGTTAATATGTCCTAAGACCTTAATATTTCCCTAGACAAATTGTTCTTTTCACTGGTAGAGAGTGAACATCTGGATATAACATACTAAGATGCTTAAGTGGCCATCTTCAGATTTTGCATCTTGATTATAAATATACCCTTCGTCCTTGACCTTGGCCATTGAGTAAAATTCTTGTCTGTATACTTGTGCATGTGATGTAAGAGCATGAAAAAGTGTGTGCACCTCTGGCGGTCTGTAGAAATGAGAGAGACAGAAATCACTAGCTTTGATAAGATGCTCGAATAGCAGGGACGAATTATCCGAATGCAGGATGGAGGTCTGTCTGTGCTGAAGCGGAGGTTGGCAGGGCAATGTGCCTATGTCCAGGCCACCGCACTAAAACCCAGTTTGGTAGTTTGTTCCGGGATTCCAAACAGCACACACTTATTCCTTACAACCCAGAGTTCAGCCTCTCTAGTCTGGACTTTGCCTGATGTGAAGAAAAGGTCACTCGCCCCTAGGAGCCTCTTCCCTTTCTTTCTGGAAGCGCAGGGCTTCGCGCGCACAGGCGCGTTAGTTCAGAATTCGCGGTAGCTGACTCGCTGTGTCCATCCGGCCGCAGTTGTGGGCACCTGAACCCACCGACATCTGGGTGACCGCCGCCGGCTTGCTCCAGGGGTGCAGCACCCTAGGTCGCCTCAGGGGTGGAAAGGACTCTCCGGAAGTAATGTGGTTATGCCTCTAGGATGTTTGCCCTCCTTGGTGTTGGAAGTAAGGGAAAGTTTGTCCTGGTGAGGCGTAGACCTCCTGAACCAAAGAGCTAAATTTTAACGCTTCCACCCACGGAGGCGGCCGCCCGGAGTCTGCATGGATTCCTGTGTGGTGTTAGTGGCTGGCGTGCGCCCGCCTCTGCCCCTTTCAAATGGCAAAACGTTGGGTAGAATTATCCTCCCCAGCCAAAACAAAGCAAAACAAAACAAAACCCCTGGTTTAAAATTTCCCTTGCTAGAGGCAAATTCCAAACACAGAGGAGGGAGGCACCTGAGGCGCAGGTTCAGAGTTCACGTCCCCGGGCTGCAGGAGTGAGAGTCGAGCAGTCCCGAGAGGGTGTCCAGAGGCAGAGTAAAGGAGCCGAGTACGGGCTCTAGCCCTAGTTCGAAGGTTAGGAAAGCAGGTGCTGGGTCGCCAGGCTGATTCAATCTCCGGGTAAACGCGACTCAGGCCGCGGTGTGCCGAGGATTTAGCTAGGGGCCGTCACCGGTGGGCCGAGCATGCACTTTGTTTACTAACAGACATCTACTTGGTTCGTGAACAAAGGAGCCTCCTTGGGACGCTGGAGTCGCCGGCCACAGCCTAACTCCGCCCGACATCCACCTTTGGTGTGAAGCCTTCCATAACATTTTGCCCATCTTGCTTCTGAGGGCCAAAGACTGCATTTCCTCCGATCTCTCGGTCAGGCACGCGAGTGTGCGAAGTCCCATACCACCAGCCTCCGCCCCCTTCCCCAGGGCCCCGGTGTAGACGGATTTCAGACCCCAGAGAAGCGGTTCCATACCTGCCTGTTGTCTGAAGTACAGTTAGGTTTAACGCAACCACAGACGTGACTGAAATCCTCTCTAGAACAGTCAGAATAGAAAACGGGTTCGTTTAACCCTAAGGTGTCATTGCGTAGCCTGGCGGCCCCATCCTACCCTGAGGTTGGCCGAAAGAGGAAGGTCAGGAAGGTTACTTCACGCTCCCCACGCGCCTCCCTCCTCTCTCTCCCCACGTAGTGGCAAACTTGACCTTTCCTGCTCTTTCTGGACTCTTGTGTATAAATGAGCCTCGGTGCATCTCAATCCTTACAGCCATCTCTTGTTAACAAGAGGTGTATCACGCGTAGGTCGGTGGGCACCGTCCAGAGCCAGATCTCTTAAGTGGCTCCTGCCACTAGGGAAATGACTCCTCCTTCTAGATCAGAGCCCATTAGCCGGTTCCAGTTCGGAAACACACTTACAACACCTCATTGTTTACTTCTTTTCTGTTTTTCTCTATGCAGGACGTTCACCTCCTCTTGCCAGGTGTTGCCCAGATGTGTAAATAACTCCAGAAAGCTCCCATTGTCCTACAAGCTTACTGCCATCGGGTGACAAGGGAGATGGCAGATGTCTGTGTTTTTGAACAAACACTTTTAAAGGTATTCCGAATATCAGCAGAACGGCACACACCCATCTGCAAAGTATTTGTTTTTTCAGCCGCTATTAGTGGCACCAACCTAGAGGACAAGTGCACGGTTAGAGGCGTGCTCATTTTGTGGCAGATGAGACATTCGCCACCAAACACACCCCCAGGAGCAGAACCTGGTCGCTAGCAGCACCAAAACCCAGTGGGGATTCCTGGCTGGCAGTAATTGTTATAGGGCATTTTTGTTTTTAATCCTCTCTTGGTTCTCCGTTGTCTGTTCTCAGACTGACAGAAAGAGAAGGCGATTCAAGTGAGTTTCCAAACTGTAATATGTCAGCAATAGTACTTGTGAGCATTCGTTTAAAAAAACTTCCCGTGGGGTATTTAAACGTTTTAAATTCACTCATGTAGACGGCATCCTATGTGCAAGGAACATTCACGTCGGACTTTTGTTCCCTGAAACAAAACCTAACAGACTCAGCTGACGTTTAAAATAACGGATTGTTTGAGACATCTGTGTATCAATCACTCGAACTCCACTTTGGCCTGATCTAGGACCTGTTTTCCCCCAGGGTCCACTGCTCCTTCCCTAGGAAAGCTGCCAACATAGACCTTTCCCGCAACAGATCAGCCCCGAAAACCCGAACCATTTCCAAAATGACGCCTTTCTTCGGATTAAGTATTGTATTTATTTCTTCTGGCGACTTTGGTGTCATTCTGGGTTCAGAGAAACTCAGGAGAAAATAAAGCTCAGCCGGCCGCCACCTGCCCGCTGTCGGCCAACCTTGCCTCGCCTCCTGAAGCCGACCACGGTGTCTGCCGAGCGTTCGGAGCAGCGCCAGGTCGGTGCGGCGGGAAGAGGCCCGAACACCCGACCGCGGGGAGCTGGGAAGCGACGGGAGAGCCCAATGCCCGATCCAGAGG